GTCGTCGTAGCTGTACTCTGGGACCTCTTCTCCGAATCGACCCCTAGACATGATGTCTAAGGGTGCGTTCCAGCCGTCATTCCGAAGCCAATCCAGCCGTGGCGACAAAGGCGCCCCAGCGGCGGGCGATACAAACCATGCTCAAAATGGGCAGGAACTGCTGTCGGTCTTTGTCCGCACTCTTGCCGTAGTCATTCCGATCTTTCCGAACCAAGGCTCCGCCACTAACCTCGACATTCCCAGAAAGATCTCACCGCTCGGTCAATCCCCGCACCGCTCGGTCAATCCCAAAGCCGTGCGGTCACCCCGAATCCCCACTGACTCACCACACGGTTCGGTTGTTGCTAGAAGTGGTCCTGGCCCAAGGTGCTCCCAGCTTTTCGCGCCATTTGGGGCGTCTGGGGCCCTTCGGGCCTCGGGAGGGGTGCTCTGGAAGCCCTCTGCGCCTCCGTGGGGAAGCTGGGGCCACTCTGGGCCATGGCCACTTTTGGCAACACCCGAACGGTGTGGTCACCGCACTCTTTGGGGGCCCCCGACTGTGCTCCAGGCCGCTGCTCCCCAAACCCCGTGCACACCGCCAAGGCCGGGTTGGCAGAGCGCCGGGCCCTGTCCTGGCCGGCTCCCCTGGTCCTCGACCTCGTCCCTAGGAGGAGGGATAAAATCCCCCCCGCCAACCTGTCCTCCCCCAATCTGTCGTCCTCCCCTCCTCCCTTTCCCCCTTCGCCCACCTTCCGTCCCGTGCTCCTCCGCTGCTGCTGCTGCTGCTCCTCCTCCGTTCTCGCCTAGACCTTCCCTTTCTCCTCCGCCTCCTCCTCCTCCTCCTGGCCCAAGGGCTCCCGAGTGGGTCCCCACCCCCGTCGCGCAGGGGGACCCCCAGGCTTTGGGGTTCAAGTCCAGCGTCTCGTTGCCACCGCGGCCTGGGCCAATCCCTTGTTGGGACTGGCTCCTAAAACACTCCAGGGCCGGGGCCGGTCCCCTGTTTGGACCGGCCCTGGTTCTCCTCCTCCTCCACCTCCTCCTCATCCTTTCTCCCTCCTCCTCCTCCTCCTGCTCCTGCTCCTGCTCCTGCTCCTGCTCCTGCTCCTCCTCCTCCTCCTCCTCCTCCTCCTCCTCCTCCTCCTCCTCCTCCTCCTCCTCTCCCCCTCCTCCTCCTCCTCCTCCGCCTCCTCCTCCTCCTGCTCCTCCTCCTGCTCCTCCTCCTGCTCCGTCTCCTCCTCCGCCTTCTCCTCCTCTTCCTCTTCCTCCTCCGCCTCCTCCTCCTCCTCCTCCTCCTCCTCCTCCCCAGATCCTTCCGGCCCTCCCTCCCTCCCGAGGCCTTCGCGTACTTTTCCCATACCTCCCTGGTCTTCTGCGGGATGACCTCGGTGCGCATCTCGTGGAGCTCCGCGGCGGGGCGGCGCGGCGACCGCGCGGGGGTGAGCGGCGGAGCCCGAGGGGCGCGCAGAGTCGAGAGGGACAGAGGTACAGCAGACACATACGATGTTACATCTTGCTATACACCCCAACTTAGAGTTGACAAAACTGCAAACTTAGCCGCTAAGAGCATGAACGGCACTCCCATTGTTCTGTCAAACCGTAGTCCAGGTCCAGGTGCACGAACACTCGATGAAGAAAAAAAAGCTCCAAGAGAACGCCCAGTGTCCAGTCCGGATGCATGATTTTCTGGAGTGAAATTTGAGTCCATGAGCGTTGGTGCTGTTTCTTAACACCTTTCTGATGGGTGTACGGTGGGGGCCCGACCACAAGAAACCTTCCACAAGAAACCCACCCCTGAGACCCCAGGACGTCCATAGACTTTTGGTGTGGGAACGTCACGCTTTCCATCGCACAACCATCGAAACCCAAGAAACCCAGGGCACCCCGGAGGCAAGCAAGGTGTTTCTTGGCATGGGCTCCCATCGTATAGGACATCTGGGGGCACGTGCCTCGTCGAGCTTTGAGCTTCCTGAGGTGCCCCAGGGCTTCTGCGGGTCCCCGAGGCCATCGGGGGATACGACACTTCCGTGGGCCACCCTCTTGCAGGCTGGTCTCTGCTTTGTCTTGCAGTGCCTACTGTAGAGGGGGCCAGCGGTCCAGGAGAGCCCAGTCGCCGAAAGATCGCTCCAAGACGCCCAAGATGAGCCCAAAACGGCCCAAGAGGCCGCCAAGACACCCCAAGAAGCCTCCTCTGACGCGTTCTGGCGCCACCCACCAGGTCCAAAACGGCCGGAAGACAAATTAGTGCACTCCTGGCCTCCCAGGACCCCCTCCCTTTTTTGTTTGTTTTAATATCTTATATATATATATATACATATATATTATATAGATATCTATACAAGACTGCAATGGCGCTTCGCGCCATGCACTTTGGTCCTTGAAATTTGGTATGCAAGCGGAATAGCATGAAGGTAAAGCCGACAATTTGGCGATAATTCCTTTTTGCCTTTTCCGGCATCGCCGCTATAATAATGTTATTCGTTATCCTTCCTCCACGTTTTTTTACCTCATTTTCGCCATACCCTGCGCCCCATCCTCCCCAGCTCTTTTTTGCGGAGGCTCCTCCTTGGAGAGCCTCTGGGGGCCTCACAAAAGTTGTTTCAGGCTTTCTTTAGACCTTCTGGAGGCCTCCTGGGCATATTCTGCGGGCCTCTGGGGGCTTCCTCGGGCCACCCTGCCTCCAACCGCGGTCTCCCTGAACGACCAGGTCACGATTTGGAATGCTTCGGAGGGTGTCTTGGGGCCATCTTGGGCCGCCATGAGGCTCTCTGAGGGTCATCTTGGACCCGTGTTGTGCCGTTTTGGGGCTCTCTTGGACTGCCTGGAAGCCCTTTCAGATGGTTGACCGCCGTCTTGGAGCGTCGGCAAGCCGAAAAGAGGAGAACCCCAAGATTCACCAAAACCAGCAGAAAATCAATGATTTTTGCCTCTTGGGGCCTTCTTGGGAGTGCTCTTGGAGGCCTCGTTGGGGCTGTCCTGGAGGCCTCTTGGACCATCTTGAGGTCACGTTGGTCACTCTTGGAGCGCTCTTGTGCTGTCTTGGGGGTCTCTGGGACGTCTCCGATGACCCCCCTGTTCGCCCTAGGTGTGCTGGGAAGACTCGGCAAAACGCCCTGCGATGCCCAGGGGGCCGCTTCGAGGCCCGTCCAGAGGGTCCAAAAGCCCCAGATCCTAAGAGTCCGGCTTCTTTTTGGGGGGGGGACGGGTTTTCCCCCCGCCCAGGCTTGTAAAAAGACAGGAAGAGCTGTCGGTCTGTCTGTCTGTTTGTCTGTCTGGCTATCTGTCCGTCTGTCTGTCTGTCTGTCTGTCTGTCTGTCTGTCTGTCTGTGTGTATGTATGTCTGTACGTATGTATGTGCGAATTTATGTCTATTATATATACATATGTCTATATATATATATATATATATATATATATATTTGAATATATATAAACTAGTGTGGATCCGTGTGTGAAATCCATGGAGCTGCGTGAGTCGAAGTTTGCCGACGCGCGCTTCTGTCTGTGGTGCGCAAATGCCAGCAAGCTGCAGCATCTTCGGCCGTCTTGGGGCCCTCGTGGGCAGACTCGGGGCCCTCTTGGCCTGTCTCGGGGGCCTCTTGGGGACCTCTTGGCCCCTCCTGGGCTGTCTTTGGGCTCTCTTGGGCGCCTCTTGGGCCGTCTCGGGGCGATCCTGGAGGGCTCTCGGGCCGTCTTGGGGGTCCAGACGGTCGAGAGCGCGAGAATCTCAGAACCCGTAGAAAACTCACAGGAAATCTACGATTTCGGCCTCTTGGCGCCCTGTAGGTCCCCTCGGAGCTGTCTCGGGGCGTCTTGGCGTGTTATGGGGCTGTCTTGGGAGCATCTTGGGCCGTCGGAGGGCCGTCTTGGGTCAGCTCGGGGTTGTCGTTGGTCATCTCGGGGCCTCCTTGGGCCGTCTCGGGGCTCTTCTGGGGAGCTCCGGTGCCGTTTCTGGGCCCTCTGTGGACCCTCTGGTGCCGTTTCGGGCTCCACGGGGGCCTCGGTGGTGGGCCGGGGCCCCCCGCCAATCCATGGGCTTACATCCTTCCCGTCGGCGTCCGCGCTCCAATTGGGAAAAGTCTGCCTTCGAATGAATGTGGGTCTCAGCGAAACAAGCGAAATCGTACTTTTGGGTGCCATGCTGAGGAAACTCCCACGCCTGCGGCCCCATCGTAAAGACATTGCCGTGAAAAAGCTGCCGAACATCACTAGGGCGAGGCTGTTCGTGTTCACGAAGTGGAACTAGACCACCTGCGCTGACCTCCATCAGCGGACAGACGTCGGTATCCCCACTCCTCCACGTGCCTTGAGCTGCAGAACCTTGAGCTCTAACCTGATCCGGCAAGCGCTCAGAGATTGTAGAGCCAAATTCAAAATCCGCCTTCATGATCGTGTCGCTACCTCTTCGAAGCCAGCACCTGCAGACTCGACCCGACCTCCCTCTACCACAGATGGTCACGAGGCCGCTGCCGAAGGAATCGCCCCTGTTCCACTCTTCGCGGCCTCGGCCTTCTCTGCCGTGTCGAACTTCGCGCGGCTGAGCTAGACGGCTTCGGCATGAATCGCGGCGTCGTTCTCGAACTCCTCCTTCACCTTGGTCTGGCCCTTGTCCGTCTGAGAAGGGCCGGTGAAGCGCTGCTGCCGTTGTCTCCAGCGGTTGCTGTGCGGACGCCGTCGACTCCTGCGGCGCGACGCTGCTAGGCCGCGCGGGCTGACTGCTCGGCCGCCTCTTCGCCGAGTCCAACTTGGCCTTCATCCCATCGGACGTGGCCGTGAGCTTGGCCTTCGTCTCTAGGAGTGCTGCCTGCAGCTGCGTCATGCGTTCCTGCTCCTCGGTGCTGAACTCGTCAACGTCGGCGAAGATGCCGTCGTCCCACGAAACCTGGTAGAGCGTTTCGTTCTCATTGGGCTCGTGCTCGTCGGGCTGCTGGTCGGGTTCGCCTGGCTTGACCATACGCGCCACGGCTGGGCCTGTCGCGCGTTTGCGTGCCTCGGCCTCCAGCAAGAACATCACCAGCTCCTGCTCTTTGGCTGCCGCCGCCGTCTCTTTGCTCGCGCTGGGGCGTACTATCGAGTTGACAATGGTTACATGGTGACGCTCAAGATCTTTACGTTCACTTGCAGCTCGCCTGAAGGCACTACCCACAGAGATCGAGTCCTTGACTGCGGGGACCTTCGCCGTGCGCTGCTGGGCCAGCTCGATGACCGCCTTGACATCGGCCGCCAGCGAGCTACCCGCTTCAACCTCCTTGGCCAGCGTCTGGGCAGTGTTGGCAGGCGAACCTCTTGGCTGCTGGAGGTCGTTGCTCTTGCCGTCACCACCGCGGCGCCGATGGGGGCTTCGAGGACGGGCGTGTCGACAATCGCTGGACTGTGGCACCCTATTGAAGATGGGGTTGGGAGGGAGGGAAAGAACGAGGGGGATCATACATCCACTACTAGAAACCTCGCGCCAAGCGTGCGTGCAAGAGCGCCAAAGGGTGGAGACGGAAGAGGATGATGAGGAGTGGGGGAGGTGTAAGAGGGAGAGGAGGGAGAGGACGGAGGTGGAGGAGGGAGAAGAAGGAGAAGATGGATGTGGAGGTGGGAGAGAAGGGAGAAGACGGAGGTGGAGAGGGAGGGAGAGGAGGCCGGGGAGAAGGGATGGAGGAGGTAGGGGGGAGGACTGGGGGAGCGCAGGGTGGAGGGGGAATACGAAGGAAAGGCGATGGAACGAGAAAGAAAACAATGAGTATGAGCAATAATAGAGGGAGGACGGTGGGGGGGACGGATTGGGCAAGCACTCGACGAGAAGGTTGAAGAGGGGGAGGAAGGGGAGGAGAAAAGGCGAGAAACACATATGCTGGTTCCGTCAGAAGTGGTTCCCTCGAATCTCTCTCCTTGCTCTGCCTACTCCCCTGCCTCGCAAGGGCCCAAGGCGGGCGGGCTGAGAAACCTCCTCGATCAGATCGTTCTCCCGAGTCTTCACCCGCTGTGTGTCCGATGATTCGGCGGCATAAAACGCCTTCTCCGCAGCGTCTGCCTCCTGAACGCATGCAGAAATCACACATAAGCTTTCCTGAACGCAGGCGAGGATAAACAGGAACCACACCGATCACCTTTCTGGCATGCAAGGCAGGTGCCCTGCTTCACGTGCAAAACATGAACTTTGAGCCTTGCGAAGTCTCAGGGGTTCTATGCCTCCAAAGTGCGAATGCAGAACACCTGAATCAACCACATGAGCTGACCACTGGGGAATGCCGATTGGATATGGGTATGGTTGTCGTCTTTCTTGGGAGGAGCAACACATATTTTGAGCAGACGATTGGACATGGGAGCGATATGGATACTGGCCGCGCATGGGAGTGAAGTCGCGGGCGGAACGAGCCAATGGTTCTTCTCAGAAGCTGGCGTGCGCAATGGGGTGAGACAGCGAATGCAGTATGACAGGCTCTGAATGACGTCAACGTCGTACTCGCCTCCGCTCCTCGTCGCGTCAACGTCAATGACGTCAATGCCGTCACTGCGCCTCGCCTTTCCGCTCGTCCTGTGCACTGCTTCGCTTCCACGTCTCCCTGCCTGCCCCCCGTTTCTCCCCGTTTCTCCCCGCCTTCCCCTCGCGTCGCCCCCCCGCGAAGGGCACTGTCGAACCCCTACGGGCAAATCCAGTGTTCCCACGCACCGTGACCTGGGCCAACCGCGCGCGTCTCTTCGCTCGACTTTCGACGCCGCGCCAGCGCGCGCGTGGCCGCGACGCCAAAATGTGTGTGTGTGTGTGTGTGCGCGCGCGTATTTTCCTATGGGCGGATCCAATGTCTCCCGCCGAGTGAGCCGGGCCGGTGCGCGGGCTTCTTCGACCTTTTCCACGCCGCGCCGGCGCGCGCGTGGCCGCGGCGCCAAAATAAGTGTGTGTGTGGTGTGTGTGTGTGTGTGTGTGTGTGTGGTGTGTGTGTGTGTGTGTCAGCTGCGAAGGGTGGTACAGCCCCGATTGGATCAACTGTTTCCATACCGCTGAAGACCCTTTCGCTCCTGATGACAGTGACGGCGCGGACGACGAGGAGCGCCTCCGCAACGCAATCATCACTCCCCATGGGGCCGTGCAGACGACCTGGTCCCTCAGCCCCGACAAACCGGGAACTTGAGGACGCCTTCCGCGATGCATATGACGAATGGCGCCGCTCCACGCCGTCCAGTTGGCCCTTGTGAGTGACTTGCCGTGCCCGCGTTCCCTCCCCTCCCCCCCCCGTGTCCAAGCCGCCTCGGGCGTGGATCTGTCCGCCCCTGGCGCTGGTCGCTGTTACGGGCCTTCGCTTCTCACGCATAAATACCGCCGTGCCACTCGATGCCCTCAACGTCTCTTTTGCGGCCCGCTGCCTCACCCCGGCGATCTGGCCTGCGGCTGCCCCCTTGGCTTCTGGCGCGGACTCTCCGCGCGGCCTCGCGTCTCACGCCCCGCCCAGCTGGACCCCCTGGGTGGACCCTCAACGGCGATCGCCGGGCTCGGGCCGCACCCGCATCGCTGCCGGGCTCCCCCTCGTTGCCCTCGCCGTGCTCTCCCGCCCCCCACCTTCTGCGAGCGGCCTCGGGCGCGGATCTGCCCGCCCCTGGCGCTGGTCACTGGCTCGGGGCCTTCGCTGCAACTGCCAGCCGCCCTCCCCCGCGTCGCCCTGGGAGTCTCTCTCGAACCGATAAGCGGATGAACGGCGGTTCCACTTCACAGCGACCAGTATCCGAACCATCGCATTGCTCTCATCGCTCTCGCTTCAGTGTCGGCCACGCGTGATGATCACTATTCGTTGGTTTTCACACTCTGGCGTTTTTTTTTGCTGGCGCTCATTTCTAACCGCCAGCGCATTGGTGGTTGTAATAACCGCCGCGGAACCTGAGGGCTCCCTGATCCCCTGGGTGGCCCTCAGTGGCGACCGCCAGGCCGCGCTGCCCTGGCGCTTTCTTCCTGGGCGGCGCTGCTCTCGCTCCTGGGCGTGTGAGCTCGCCCCCCCCGCCCCCCGCGCGTACCTCGGCATGCGCCGTCGCTCCGCGATTCCGCCGCTCGGGGATCTGGGGACCTGGGTCAATGCAAACCCGGGTCAGTTGGGCTTTGCAAGATCTTGGAACATCCTGCAGGATCCTGCGCGCTAGCCCGGGTCAGTGCACACCTGGCTCTGCAGGATCCTGCAAGATCTGGCGCTCTTACTGACCTTCGTTTGCATTGACCCCCGTCCTTTGGGCCCCCAGCCACGTGATCTTCGCCTGGGCAAATCTTTTTGCCCTTCTTCTTTCGTTGGGATGCCGTTGCCGTTCCCAGGGTGGACCCGTTGGGCGCGTCGAGCCAGCCCTCGCGGCGACTTCGGCTTGCGTGGCCGCGCCGCTCTCCTCCGCGGAGTCGGTTCACGGCGGCACTTCTTGGTGGTCTTGCCCCGCTGGTGCGCCTTCCTCCTTCCCCCCGGCTCTTCCGCCGCGTGTCCCCCCGGCTCGTGGGGTGGCCCGCCGCCCCAGGCCGCTTTTGGCCTGGGCTCTTTCGCCCTTGCTGCCTTGCCCCGCTGCGTTCGCCGCGCCTCCCGCTCCCCCCCCCTGTTGGGCTTTTCCAGCCCCCTGGCCCTCTGGTCGGGTTCGGCATGCCAGCCGCCTGCCATCGCCGGCGCCCTCGCCTCTCGCCCCTCATCCGCCGGCCACTGCCTTTCAATACCCTGTCAATATAGGCTCTGCAGCGGCGCCGCCGCGGCGCAGGGCGCCAGCTGGCGGGCGCCGTACTCGATCTTCTTTTTTTCTTTGCGAAGAGCGCCCTTTCCTTCGGCTCGCGAGCTGAGGGGCGCTCAACCTTCTCTGATCTTCTTGTCCTGTCTTTGTGGACCTCTTCCGACCAAGCTGGTCGGTGGCCCTGCCTCGCCTGTCGCGCGAGGCGGCGGCCCCTTCTGCGGGGGCCTGCCGTGGGGCGGGGTGCTCCATCTCGTCTGCTGTCGCTGTCTGACGACCCGCCCTTCGGCCGCTCTTGTGCCGCGGGCCGCCCGACCTCATCTTCCGTGCTTTTCCATGTGCTGGCTGCCACCTCGTATCCGCTGTGATGTCTTCTTGGCAGCCCGCCCGTCGGCCCCCTGGCTGCGGGCAGCCTTTCATCGCGGTGTGCTCGTTGTCGCTGCCGTTCTTGTCCTTCTGGCAGCCCGCCCTTCGGCCTGCTGGTTACGGGCTGCCGATCGTCGCGGGGTGCTCGTTGTCGCTGTTGTAGGTCTCCGTGGGTGGTCGCAGAGCCAGGCGATGCGCCATGTCATTCCTGTCATGTTGGCAGCTCGCCCTTCGGCCTCCTGGCTGCGGACTGCCGCTCGTCACGGTGTGCTCGTTGTCGCTATTGTTTGTCTCCGTGAGTGGACTCCGAGCCGAGCGATGCTCCGTGTCATGCTTGTCCTGCTGACAGCCCGCCCTTCGGCCTACTGGATGCGGACTGCCGTGCAGATGATTGTGCTCATTGTCGCTGTCGTTCGCCTTAATGGGTGCCGTTTGACAAGGCCTGCTGCCGTTTAGCCCTCGGGCGTTGAACTCTTGAGCGTTTGCTCTTTCAGTCCGTGCTGGATGCCGATCGGTCGGTGGACCCCCGTGCTCACGTGGCGACATATTGCCTAGTAGCCGTAATGGCGCACTTGGGCTTTGCGCTCTAACGCCTACCAGCATACATGGCGACGTAGTGCCTAGTAGCCCTGTTGGCACACTAAGACTTTGCGCTCTAACACCTGATTTCAGACCATGCTCCGTGGTGTCTGCGATTGCTTCTGTGCTAAGGCCCACTCCACTGCGTGGCGTCTCGTAGTCGTGCTTGTGGTAGTTACGGCTGTAGTTGGTGGCGGTGTGGTTGCTGGCGGGGTATTCGCTGTTGTCACCGCAGGAGGTGTCTCAGTTCTGGTCGTAGTTGAAGTACCTGTCGTAGCTGGTGTTCATGGCATTGGTTGGTGCTGCGCTGGATAGTCGAAAGCGCCATCTCGCTATGATCATCTCGTCGGGCTGGGCGGCTGTGACGTCGAAGTCGTCAACGGGGGTCTCTTTCAATTTGATTTCGTGTGTGGGATCTGCTGAGTTGGAAAACATCTTGATGGTGCCAAGCTCGTAGTGGTTGGCCGTGCTGCTCGTCGTTGCCGTGTACTTGATGATGTGGTGGCTCTCGGGAAGCTTCCAGAAGATGGGGACCTCGGCGTGGATGGCGAGGAAGGGTGCCTTCGCTTCAGCGGCAGCGTGTATGGTAGTGATGACTTCTCTTGTGACGGTGTTGGCTGAGTAGAGCTCGTTGGCAATCTTTTCTGTGGCGTCGGGTGGTCACCATGGCGTTTTCCTAGAGCGGCGGCTGCTGGCGTGGTTGGCGATGACCTCGGCGTTGTCGTGGCGGTACCAGGTTCTTCTCGGAATCTCGGCGTATATGGCGGCGATCTCTCATTTCATGATCCTGTCGCGGATGAACTGTAAGCCGTGATCCGATGTCTGTGCTTGGTGGTTGTTGTCGGGGTCGATCGTGCAGTAATCCAATTCACTCGCGCTGGTGACGGTGCCGGTGGCAATGATCTGTGGGAGGTGGCCTGGCTGCCGAGGGCGGTCAGTGATGAGTGCCATTTCCTGTCGTTCGGCTGGTGCAAGTGGCTCTGGTACAATAGGTTGATGCGTCGTGGATTGGGTGGCGGCGTAGACCTTCGGAAGGGCAGGCGATGTCTCCAAGAGAGGGAGCGGCGTGATGCCGATCTTGTAGGCGGGTATCTTGCTGAAGGTCGCATGTCGACCGCTTTTCTTGTTTGCTGCCGTGGTCGTGGCCGTGGCTATGTGGCTTCGAGCTTGTCTGCTATTTGCCGCTCGATCAGCGGTTCCATCATCATTGCGTGCCAAGCATGCCAGGACTTGCAGCATCGGTGGGCGACCGCCACGTGCTTCAGGAACCCCGGTCGGGTATGGAACTCCGTCTGGCAGCATCTGCGCGCCGTGCCCGTTGCCCAACGTCGAGGGTTCTCGCGGTCGGGGCGGTCTCTTCCCATGTGCACTGCCATGCCCTGCTTGGTGGCTGTGCTGCCGCAGATGTAGCAGACGTGCTTGGTATTGGCGTCGTCGTCGGACTGGTCGTTCTCGATGGTGCTCGATGGGATCGTGGGCATCTGGATGGCCTTCTGGAACTTCGCAAGCTGAGCCTGGTCTCTCGCGTAATGTAGGTAGGCCTTTTAGCGGCCTTGACAGCACTGGTGAAGAGCTTGGGCTTCTGGCGGGCCCAATTGATGATGTCAGCCATCTGTCTTGTGGGAGGTGCTCTCTGAGAAGGGTAAAATCCTGCTTGGGAAGGTGGCTCCAGGTGCCTCTGCGTTGCCGCTGACTATCAAGTATCTGGAATAGGGCTGCGGGTGCATGGTTCAGGAGGCGCTGTAGGTAGCGTAGTCGGGCTGCCGTCTGGTGCGTGTCGAAGTCGGGGATGCCCGTCTTCGCGATTTCCTCGATGTTGGTGACGTGATTGTCGGGCGTGTTCGTCTTTGGCAAGGAGGCCGCAACTCGGTAGGGGCCCATGCACTTGGCCGCTATGTGGTTGCGGTCCTTCTTGTTCAGACAGTTCCATATATGGTGGTTGTAGGTCAGCGACGATGTTGAGAGGGCGTGCGCGTACTTCAGCTTGGCCTTCGTCGATAGCTTCTTGCGGCGGAGGATCTGCTTCTCGAGTGGTCTTGCTGCTCCGAGTTCTGTTGACTCTGAGGCATATGTCGGGGCCCATGGCCCCTCCCGCCGCGATGATTGCTCCGTGGGCTTTCTGCTGGGTCACAAGCTGGACTTTGATGGAGAGGTTTTCGAGCTCGATGAAAAGTGACCCCGTCCGTGGCGATCCCCTGGCGCTCCTTCCTGGCCCCGTAGTGCATGAGGATGGCTTTTGTCTTGTCTGGGTGGGGCTTGAGCCCGTGCTGGTATGCTGGTGTGTAAAGTCTGGTGGCTGAGAGTCGTGTCGTCTGGATCAGGTCGCAGGCGCTAGCGGTCGAATTGGAGTCCGTGAGGTCGTCGACGAAGGACATGTTCCTGAGCGCGCTACCGTCGTGAGGTGTTGCCGAGAGTGGTGACGCGCATGCCTCGATGTCGTGGCCTCCTGGTGGTTGGTTGCTGTGGTAGCTGGTAATGCTGGGCGCTCTTGGCCGTCATCCAATTGGAGGTGTGGTGGTCTGCGATCGTGCGGCAGAGGTGCTCGTCATCAATGTTGTGGTTGTTGTATGCTGTTTGCTGTAGCCTGTCAATGAGAGAGGGCTTGGGGAATGCTGGGGTGTCTATCCGCTCGATGAGATCGCTGAGTTCGTCGGCGGAGGTAGGGGCTCCATGCCGAATTCCTGGATTACGAAGTGGAATGCTTCCCCGAGGTCGAGGAATGTGAGGCTGCCCGATCTGGCCCTTCTCTGACAGCCGGCGACGAAGGCGAGGGAGGGGTGGGTAATGAAAGCAGTTGCCATCTTGGGTCGCGTTCCACGCTGTGCCAAGTCCAGCAAGTTGGGTAGCAGGCCTTTCACTCGCGAACGTAGAAAGCTGCTGTGCATCTTCCCGACGCTGTTGCTGAGCAGGGTGCCTCGGTGGGACTTCTTCGGGGATGGACAGACCCCCCTTTAGCAAAACGTGGTTTAGGGAAAACGACCTGAGGCCAAAACCTGGCGGGCGCAAGCCTCGAAAATAACGGCCACGGCGCCCTCTCGAAAACCGAAAACGGACAATTCACTAATCGACGTGTCACTGTTGGGGGTTCTGTCCACCCCCGACTTCTGCTGTTCTATGGCCCCTTGTCCCTTGTAGAAGTGCATGGAGTCTCCTCCCTTGGCGGCGATGGGCTCCGTGCTCTCGATCTGCGTCTTGACCTAGATGGGATGTAAACGACTAACCATCCCTTCGGGGTCTGCTCTGGCAATGTCGTCTGTAAGCTGGTCGGGTCCTCCTCGTCGTCCTCTCTTGGCGGCTGCCAACCGGCTATTGGGCTGGCGTCGCGGGATGATGTTCTGAATATTCGGGGTCGGCCGCGTTGTGCAGGTGCGCTCGTTGTAGTCCTTGGCGACCCCATCGGCGTCAGTCATAATGCCCATTACGATCGTGCCGTAGTGTGCAAGGGCGTGATCGGCGATCTCGGTCTTGGTCGTGAGGGGCTTGCAGTCTACGGTGCTGCGGATGATGGGCGTTGGCGGCTTTTTAGGCTTGCGTCCTGCGAAGGCCAATACACGTTTGGCACGTCGGGCCTCTTGTCGTGGTGCGTGATCGCGGATGGCGGTGCTCATCTCTTTGGCGGTCTTCTCCAGGAATGCATCGCGGTCCTCTTCGGTCCACTTCTGAGTAGCGGTTTGATTGATTTGAGGAATTGTACCATGGTATCGCAGTAGTGCATGGTGTTGTCGATGTAATTGATTGGTGTTGCCTTGTGTCTCGGCGCTGCTCCGGGGATGATGGATGTGGCGACGAAATGGGCTTAGACGTTGATGTTGGCCAAGAGCCCCGCGTCCGCTGGGTAGGGGGGCGTGGCGTCTTGCGTGACTAGCTTTGCTGTGTGTCGGAGCAGCTTCACACCGTACTCGTTGGTGATCCTGTTCTTCTTGACAATGCGGGTCGTCTTGAGGAGTGAGCGGCGAACTCGTAGCAGAGCGAAAGGCCGATTTGTGATGTAGGGCTTGCGTGGTGTGCGGCCGAGGGGGCGGAAGCACTCGTAAACAGCCTTTGTTATCTTCTCGGTGATGGTGCTGACGTGGTCGTTGACGTTTGTGTCCCATGTAGTGTGTTGGATGTCGCGGAGCTTATCAATGAAGTTCTTGCGGCAGGCGTCGTCGGCTAGCTTGTGCTCATCGAGCTTGGGGGCGCCCTTGGTGGCCGATGATGCGATCTCGTCGTATGCGAGCTCCAGCATGACGGGGTAGTGGTCATCCTTGGAGTCAGGGTCGCAGCCGTTGTCGACGCCATACCGGACCGAGCAAGCCTCGATCGAGTCCAGGTATCCCCTTGGAATGATGACGTAGTCGATGCGGCGGGGGTTCTTGCTTGAGTGCCAGGTGTAGTGCTCTGGACCTGACAACCGCGTTGGCGGCCGCGAGGTGGTTGGAAAGGAGCAACCCATGGAGCCGTTAACCGTTTGGATCTTCTTTCTGCTTCGTGCCCTGGTCGCCAATCGCTGTGCTGTTGATGTCGCCTGTTCTGGCATTGGCGTCTGTCAGGATGATGCCGATCTGGTATGTTGCTGTCGCCTCGGTAAGCTTATTCCAGAATCTGGTCTTCTCGGCCCCGAGGGCTTTGGGGCAGGGCGCGTGGGCGACGGCCGGCACGTGGGAGAAGCCCGGTGCGCGCACTCGGATAATGAGGAGCCTAGGGTCCTTCTCGATGACAATGAACTGGTCGGGCTTGAAGAAGAGTTCCTCCTTGCCGCACCTCCCGTACGGCTTGCTAAGGAGGACGTGGGGCTCACGTCCGTAGTTGTACCCCTTGTGGCCGCTGGAGATGACGTGGTAGCTATTGGCGTTGGCGCAGGAGGCATCGCCTTCTTTATCTGAGTCGCGTATTCCCCATGGCGTCCTGGCCTCCTGGATGCCAATGAGATGTAGGCCTTCGTCGTAAAAGGCTGGCCATGGTGGTCTTCAGTGTGTGGATCTTCTCCCTCCTTCGTTTTGCTCCATCTTTGGGCTCCCGACCAGTCTGTATGTTGTAAGTCGCGATGTTGATTTCTATCTCGGTCTTCCTGTCGCTGGCCTCGGTCGTCTTGTGGAAGTGGCTAGCTTCGGCGGCCGTCGGGACGGTGGTTGCTGTGAGACTGCCTTGTCCGAAGGTAGGGTAGGCCTCCTTGGTGTTCTGGTCTGCGCTGAGCCAGAACTCCCAGTCCCGTTGATAAGTGCTGTCCATTATACTTGCCCATTCTTGCTGTGGAACTGGTACTGGGGTGATGCGTCCGTGGTTGGCGGCCGCGTCGGCAACTTCGTTCCATGGATTATGCTCGTGGGCATGGACATGTTGCAGGTCGATCTTCTGGCTGGCCATGTCGTAGAGGATGCAGAAGGCCCAGACGAGGTCGGGATCGTGGTTGGTGAAGGCCATCCCCTTCGCAAGCTGCAGGGCCCCCAGCGAGTCCGTCGAGATCGTGGCAATGCCGTCGAGGTTGCGGTGGATGACCCAGGCGAAGGCCCATGAGTGCGGTGATCTCGAAGGTGGTTGATGTAGTTTCCAAGTTGCTGTTGTCCATCACGGCGATGTTGGTGGCGCTCTTGTGCTTCCCGATGATCGCTCCTTGGAGTGTGAAGCCGCAATCGTCTTCCCCAACGATAATAACTGCCCGTGCGTCTTGGGGTGTTTGGAGCCGTCGGTGAAGAGGTGGAACCTGGAATGCGGCTGCAGTGGTCCCGGTGGATGGTGGCGCAGCATGTACTTGGCGGTATCTTTGAGGCTCTTGTCGTGGGAGCCAAAGGTTTGCATTGGGTGCTGGGTTTGCTGTAGCGTCTGTTTGATGGTGGGGCTTGCGTTGAAGTCGGCTCTGTGCAGCATCTGTGGTGTCGGTGGTGCTGGTTGCTGCTGTTGGAGGTCAGGTGGAAGTGGTATCTTTGCGGAGGGGGCGCGGAAGGGTTGGATTGCCTTCCCAGTAGCGGCCCTGGTCGGTGCAGCTGCACGGAGAGGGGAGTGCCGAGGTTGTTGCTTTGTCATTGGGTCGAAATTGTTGCACGGAGCAGGTGGGGGTTTGGGTATTGTAGCTATGTCGCTGGTGCTGTGAATGGGAGGGGCCGAGGTTGTTGCTTGAGCTGGTTGCCTGTTGCTGAGCATGGCGGGCGAGCTGGGCCTGACAGCTGGAGGGTGGTTTGTAGTGCTGAGGTGGGGTGCCTAGGTATGTATCTTTGATGTATGGGGTGCCACGTGGGTGTATTCCGTTGCTGAAGGCCACAGGTGGGCCCGATGGATGTCTGCGAGGCCCCCTGGAAACAGAAGTGGTAGGAGCTTGGAGGCCTAGGTGGCCTGGCGCCTGCGGGTCTCCGCTGGTCGCGGGTCGGTCGGGCACGATTGGGCGAGGTGCCTCGTCCCTCGCTGGCCGTGCATGCGGGGGGGTGGGCGCCTCGGGCTCGAGGGAGCCTGGAAGGCGCTCGATGTCATGGCTGGCCCTGGGGTGTCGCCAGGGTCCAGCCAGCTCGTCGCCGTGGTGCTGATCTTGGTGCAGTACCTCGCGGCTGGAGGCAGTCGTTGCTGCTGTTGCTGCTTCAGACTTTGCTGCGGCTGGCGTCGGTTGATCTCCTTGTCGGGGAACCTGAAAGGTCTTCCCGAAGAGGAAGGAAGTCGCGTCTGGGAGCCAAAACGGCTGGACGCCTGGAGACTTCCGTAGCGCGCGGGTCGGTCGATTCGCGGGAGCTCGATGCCGTCGCCCTTGGTGGCCGCGTCTTGGGGGTCGTGGGCGCCTCGGGCTCGCGGGGACCTCGTGGGCGCATGGTGCTGGGCTAGCCCTGGGGTGTCGCCAAGGTCCAGCCGTAGCTGTGTCATGTTGCTGCTTGTGACCCGGGAGGGCGCCCGGTCGCGTCGCAGCTCCTGCTGGGCCAGGGGGCGGCTCTACTGGGTTATTTCGCCCAGGAACGCCGCTTGTGCCCCCTGGCTTGCTGCTGTTACTCGTCGTGGCTGGTGGCGTCTGGGGGTGTGGCGGCCTCTGCTGGGCCAAGGGGCGGCTCTCCTGGTATATTTCGCCCAGAAACACCGCTTGTGCCCCCCCCCCCCTGGCATGCCGCCGATGCTGGTCTGGGCTGGCTGGGGGTTGACTCCCCAGTCCAGCGCGGGTCGCAGAGCTGTATTGGCCGCAGCCTGAGTGGATTGCCCACTCTCGGGTAGGGCTGCCTGGCCAGGGAGTCCTGCCTGTCGCAGTAATGCTGGGGCAGAAACGTACTTTTTTGAAATACTTGACGTCTTGCTTGTCGTTAGCTGTGTGTGGGTCCGGTCGGTGAGGGGTGAAAACCCTGGTGAACGTTGCCGTGGCTGGTGGCGTGCCTGGAGGTGTCGTCAACGTCGGAACAGACCGTGACTTTGCCTCTGGTGGTTTGCCGTGTGCTATATCCAGTGCTGTGCTGAAAACTGTGGGGGGACCGCCATGCCTAGTGCCTGGCGTCTATGCGATGATGCTGCTCTGCTGGGCCTTCTCGCCTCCCCCATGCAGGATGTAGCGGCCGATGGGTTGGTCCTCGGTCCACTAACAGGTAGCGACAGCTGCGGAGAGTGGATTGCCCACTGCTCAGGTGCGGCACGCTGTCCCCGAAGCATGCGCCAGATTGTTGGAAAGGGGGGGGGTAATGGTTGTGAAGTCGGTGCGCTGCGGCAGCGCTGCAGGAGTCAATGTCGCTGGGCACGTGGGCTACGGGGTCTTCTGGTGTCTGGTTAGACCTTTCTTCCTGGGCCAATCGCCCCCCAGGAAGTTGTGGCGCTGCACGTTTTTTTGATCTGGAATCGGAATGGGCCTCGCTGCCGCCGATGAAGGCAGGGGCGCGGTCTCCAGGATCTGCGAATCCGTCTCCAGTGCCGCACATGGGTACCTTCTTGGGTTGTGCTGTTCTGGTGGTTGAACCTCCCTTCCTCAGTGCTGTCCGAGGGGGTGCGGCTGACCTTGCCCTGTCGGGTGTCCACACATGGAACATTGGAGATTGGAGGTGGCTGAATGGGTATCATGTGGGCCGTGGGTGAAATGTCGGGAAACATATTCTTTGGGGCGTTAAGGGTGGTTCGACTTCGTCTCCTAATGTGATGTCGATCAGGATTGTTGTAGTGGGTCTGCTCGTTCTTGTGGTGTTGTCGCTGGTGCGAACGTTGGGCGGTGGGGCGGTGCTAGGTCGGTCGAAGTCGGGGAGATGGGTGAATTGGCTTTTTGGGGATGGTTGCTCAGTAGGGATCGGTGTGTAAGGGGTGGGGGGTGGAAGTGGCGTCGGAACAGGGAAGGGGTAGTCGTCTTCGGCAGCTGGGGTCGGGTCAAGGTCGTCGGCTTCGCTTGGGATGGGGGTCCGAGTGTCCGCGTCGTCGTCCCTGTCTTTCGCCTTGTCGTCTTTCCCCTCTGCTGGAGTCGTCGGTGGAGACAAGGGCCTTGTTGTAACATCTGCCAACCCAAGGTCTTGCTCGGAGTCGGTGGTGCTGTGGTGGGTGGGGGGGGGGGGGGCACTGCTGTCACTGCCTCTCAGCTTGGGGAAGGATGCGAAAGGGGTTGGTGTCGCTGTCGGTGGAGCCAGGGGATATCAGGTGAAGGGTTGCTTCAGCTTCGCGGTCGGCATGGGCTTGTTCTTGATCTGCCATGGCCAGTCTCTTCTCCTCATCGTCGTCCTACCCCCTCAGCGGCATGTCGATTTCGCGCGGGATGTCCGCGTCCAGGTCGGTCCCCCAGTGATGGGCCCTTTGGAGTTCGCTGTGTGACTTTTCTCGTTCTCTGATGTGCCTGATCCTGCTTTCCTCGATTTCGTGCTGGTTGGCTTCTTTCGCTGCCCTCTCGGTATTGAAGATGGCTTCTGATACGCGCATCATGGTGGTCTCCTGGTACTGGTGCTGCTCCTTGATGGCGTTGTGTCGGTGTGCTTGTAGGTGTTCATGTTCTTCGCGCAGGGCTTCGTTGGCTTGCTGCATCTGGTTGTACTCATTGCTCGCCATCTCGTTGACAGCGCGTGTGGCTGCGGGCAGTAGCGCTTCTTCATGACACATCTTGCTGCATTCGCCGAACATGCGCTGCTCGTTGGGCTTCAGCTCGCTTCTTATTTGCTCCTCCCTTGCACTCTGAGCTAGGCGAGTTGCTTGGGCGATCCGTGCCTCTGGTGCTAGTCGCTCTTCTTGTGCAGCAGCAGCTTCTTCGCGGGCCTCATGGGCCAGCCGTGCCTGTTGGGCGACGCGAGCTTCTTCGGCGATTCGTGCTTCTTGTGCTCTTTGCGCTTCTTGTGCGGGTCTTTATTCTTCGTGGCGGAGGTGCTGGCGCACTTGGAGCTGGGCTGCTTCATGTTCGTGCTGCAATCGTATCGATCTCGTGGTGTGGCTCTGAGCTTCTGGTGCCAGCTCCTCGTATGTCTTGATGCCAACCTTCATATTCATCATCTTATCGGTCATCTCTCCCATCTACTCGCGCTGCGCTGCATGTTGTCGCTGCTGTTGTTCGTGTTTAGCGCGTTCGTAATGGGGATGCGCGAGATGATGTTGGTGAAGGCCTTGGTGGCGCTGCTGATCGTCGAGTCGTTTCGATAGTCATGCCACTTGCCTTCTCATGCCACCTTCGCAATTGCCTCGATGCTGATGAGGTCCTCGGCTCCGCTGTCTGAATGGCGTCCTCTGTCGTCTCCCTATGCCCGAAGTCTTCTCATCGCTTTCCTCCTCAGAATTGTCGTTGTATGCTGACTCCTCTCTTCCGTTCTGCCCTTGCTTGGTCTCGGCAATGATCTCCCTGAGCTGGTTGATGTGGCTGAACTTCTTCTTCTCCTCTTCGGCTCGGGCTGCGGTCCCGGCATTCAGGATCCTCTGTCTTGCATTGATACCCTCGAGCTCCTCGCGGTACTTCTCTAGCCTCGTCGTTGGGGGGCCGATCATGACGATCAAGGCTTTCTTGATGGCTGCCGCCGCTGTGAGCTTCTTATTGTCGGCGTTGGCTGAGCGGGCACCTGCAATCTGGTCAGCCATTCGTGCTAGTCTTTGATGCTTGGTGCGGGCCCACATACGTCGTAGATCGGGATCTTCTGGGGGCTCGCCATTGCTCTCATGAGTCCGAGCACGCGCCTTCGTGGCCTGGAGAATACCATCAATGATGTCCTTCTGCTTCTTTGTGAAGCTGGGTGAGTCGATCCTGATGAAGTCGTGCGGATGGCCTGCTTTCTCCTGCTTCTTTTTTGGAGTCTTGCTTTTCCTAGAGGAAGATCGTGGCGCGCTCCATCCGTCTTTCCACTTCCAGCTCTGAGATCGCCATGGGTAAGGTCGCTCTCCGACGGCGGGGCCTGGGCAAGCGGTTGAGGACCCTGCCCCTGTCCTCCTTTCCGCTGGTCCCCTTTGTCCCCGCCATCCTGTCCATCGTCCCTGCTGCGCCATGACGTGCTGCTGGTGGCGCTGGTGCTGCTGGCTGCCCT